CCAAAATTGACCGCGTCTAGAAGTAAGTACCTTTGAACAGCTTGAATCAAGTGCATATCATAACGAGCAGTTTGTAGTGAAGCTTAAACAATGTATTTGATGTTATTGACCATATCATGTCTGTCTGATCGTGAGAACGAGGACGAACATGATTTTGGGTATAAGGGTCTGGAGGCGCGCTCTTCCCACAAGCATCTAACACAAATTGTTAGGGATTATAACCATAATGTGTACACACATGGTCTTTATAAACGAAACCTTAGAGAATCATGGCTAGCAGTCACGAAGCAGTAAAACGTTCATTAAATACCGAAGTAGGACAAATTTGGGGTATGACAGTAGGTTCAAATAGAAAACACCCTTCAACATATATCCTAGGATTTCGTATGGTCAATCCTGCAAGTTAGTCAATTTGACACCAAATTGATAGACCAGAGGTTGTTTACTAAAAAACACGGTAAACACTTGGACATCATGTTAGGACTGTTTGGAAACTGTCATTGAAATAAACTATTTGAGTTGAGCACTGTCATGGTGGCATGATTGATCTGATGTGAACTTATTCAATATGCACCATTTACTTTGCCATTAGATGATATTGCATTGGAAGAGTATGGTTGTTGTTGTTTTGGTTTTGAGGTCTGTTAACCTCCTTTTCTTGCAAGAATCTCAGCCAGCTTTTAGACTTCATGAGAATTAAGTCCAGGTCTTAGTAATTTCCTAGGTCGGCTGAGTGTGGTTGGCTATGTATGTGGCCACGAGTTCTGCCAAGGTTTGTTCTTGATTTTGTGATTTCGTATGGAACTGTCATGAGAGGCATGTTGTTTTGGTTGGCTGGTTGAAGGAATTTAGTGTGAATCATGCTGCTGTTTAACCAGTAGTTTAGTAAGAGTCATTTTAGGTGGGATGATTGAGGCTTGTAGTTTTTTTTCTCTGTTGTTTTGCTCTGATGAGGTGAAGAGAGGTTTGTTACCATGGTTTGTTGAAGTTCATGACAGGTTGGATTTTCAAGCCTTGTTGACATCCTAAAGTCTGTTGGCATTGGTTCTGTTGGTGGGTTTATCATTTGGGGATTCAGCTTTGCATTTGATTTTTTGGAATTCACTAAAATATAACTCAGGTCTAGGCTAAGGTATTTGTTTGTGGAACTTTTGCTTTTACCTTGTGGGTTGTGAAACCAATTTTGAGTAGGTTGTTTTGTCATTTTGATGCCAGCTCATTATCTTGAGGATTGGATCAATCTCTGTTGGCATATATGGCTGCATTTTCTAGTTGTGGTGGTGATTTGTTTTGAGTGCATGACTATTTGGAACTTTGGATTAAGATGTGGCTGCTGTCATTATGCATTGCTCTAACATTGTAATACTGCATAATCTTTTTAAAACTATTTCATTGAATTGCAACGTGGAAGCCGTTTTGTGATTCGGTGAAGATTTGAGCTCAGCTCCTTGAGCACAATCATAAGTAAGATATTTGAAACTTGTGCAGACCTTTGTTGGATTTTAAACTCATCAGTTTTGGTTTCCAAAGTGCATTTTAAGCTTCACATTGCAGGAGCATTCGAATTTGTTTTTGTATGCATTATTTGGGAAAACTAACAGCACCATCATGTTCCTTGTGAAAAATTGGGTGAGATGGACTTTTGTTTCATTGAATTTGGTGGAGTTTTGAGAGAGTTATGACGAAACCGTATTTCATGAGTTTTCACATGTTTGGCCTTTGATTCTTGCCCAGCCCAGTTAGCATGTTTGGCTTATATTTAATTGGGGTGGTTTGATATACAGATGTATTGCCACCCCAGTGGTTAAATGCCTTGCCCTTTCACCACCATGTCCTCTGTTCGAACCCTAGTGGGGGCGTTTTGATTTTTATTTTCATATTTTCCTTGTTTTCCTTTTTTAACCTTCCTTTTCCATATTTTTCACATGCGTGAGGGTGGCATGTTGGTTGTGTGTTGGGTTTCCAATCCTAAGGTTAGGGGTTCAATTCCTGGTGTGAGCCTTTCTTTTTTTTAGCACTTGTTTCCTTTTTTCTTATTTTACTTTATTTCTTTTTCTATTTTATTTGTTTTAAATATTATTAAAAAAACCAAAAAAATATTTTCTTTTATTTTATGGTGTTATTTTTTATTCTCCCTTTATTTATTTATTTATTATTATCTTATTATTATTTCATTTTGTTTTCCATTTTTATTTTATCATTTTATTTTGAATCCATCAATTTCATTTCTTTTCTTTTTCATCTGTGATTGTTTTATTTAGTGTTTACTTGGCATTTGGCCATGATCCCCCTAGGATTCCTAGTCCCTCCGTTTAGGATGGGAGTAGGAGAGACATTAGGTGTTCAATCCTTTGCATGACAACAATAAGATAGTTTCATTCCCTTTCATCCCGACTTTAGGAGCATTGTGCATGATAACTTTAGGGTCCAGTTTCCCCTTAGCTTGAGTCTTTCTCTTTTCATCTCCTAAACATTTCAAAACACCTAATAAATAAAGATTTGTGTCGTACGCTACGAGCCTTAAGTACTCGAGGAATGATGGTTGGGGGGCCTCCTCTCAATTGTCTAGAGTGTTTAGCATATGCCCTTTGGGCGATATACGACGCATTCGCTCTCGAGTCATAGTCTTTAGTGCGACATGAGTTTCAAACCATAACTTAATCCACTTCTTGTCTTAAAAAACACAAAACAAAAACATCAAATCTTTTTTATCCTTCGGGATCTTAATTGGAAAACCATTTTCAGAAAGAGTTTTGTTAAATTTGATTCTACCGCAAACAGGCATCGTCCCTAACTGCTGGAATCACTGTTTAACCCTACTCGGTTTAAAACGCTTGAACCAATATGTGGTCGTGTTAGCCCGAACTACGTTTGCTTTGATTTCTCGTACCAGACGAGGATACGTAGGCACAGGACGCGATGTCTTGGCGAGCAACCTCCCCCCACTTTCACCCGTAGTTAGCCGAACTACATTGACTCTGACTTCTCACTTCAGATGAGATACGTAGGCACAAAGCGCTGTTGCTTTGCCGAGTCACTTTCTTTTTCTTTTGTCCTCAAGCCTGTAGTTAGATAGATTTACACCCTTTTAGACTAGACAACAAGCGTGGATCCCGTCGAGTACGACGGACGTGGGGGGTGCTAATACCTTCCCCTTGCGTAACCGACTCCCGAACCCGAGATTTGGTTGCGATGACCGATCTTATCCCTCTTTTTGTTAGGTTTTCTCTAAGCGTTTCCTTTCCCTCTCTTGGGATAAATAACGCATGGTGGCGACTCTTCTGTCATTGCCGGTCTTCGATTTTCGCAATAGCGACAATTATGTATTTCGACCTTTTCACTATAATGTTTTAAATGTGATTGAGATATTTCATAAAGTTACATGAGATACTATCAGTTAGATTCAAATAAATAAAAACCTGCATAAATATTTATCTTAATATGCATTTGAATATATTTTTTTCTTGTGAAATTTAAATTCGATAAGATTATACTTTTTCTTATACCCGTGCGGACGCACGGGTCTTCTACTAGTACATGGTTATAGGAAAAGGGTTGATGAAATTAATATAGATGAATATAGTTCTTAAAAACATGTACGAAACTATGTTCCAACAACCATGTTGTCTAAGAAATTCTGCATCAAAGTAGCTATCCAAACTATATCGAGACTTATTTGGAAAATACAATAAAATTATTTGAAAATTTCTTAATGCATCTTTTGTTTTTTAGCTACCATACAAAAATACTTAAATACTTTTAGATTTTAGAAATGTATTTCTGGACACATTAAATTCTGATTGAACGTTAGAATATTTCAGAGATGCATATCTGATTATTTTACGTAGATGTATCTCCGTAATCTATCATAATAGAACTCCTTGTGTTATGTTTTGTTTACGTGTATTCAGATGCATATTTAAACCATATAATCAAAATGTAGAAAAATGAAGTACATAAATCCAGACCGTCCAAAAATGTTATATATAAATAAAAGTTCAATAAATGTCAAATTAGTTTAGAACAATGATAAAGTAGAATGATAAAGTAGCACGATGTCAAAATAAAAAACAATCCATAATATTACTATATACTAATGCACTATTGTGTATGTATGACTACACCTCCTATGCCTTTCCGACCATCAATCTCCCCCGTCCTCCGGTGCTGTCTCTAATACATCAATGTTCCCCCATGTCTCTATCATGATGGCATCTAGGACATGCCTCACATCAGACCCGTCAAGAAAGATACATGTGTCAATGCTTGTCTGTGTAATCTCTACTATGCGACAACATCTAGGCGAGACATCCTCAACATGATCTAACTGTGACTGCTCCTCCTCTAGTATCTCCTGATGAGCTAACCTCGACGTAATTTCAGTCACTCATAGCTATGGTACTTCGTACCTCATCTAGTACTAGATGACTCTCATAATCATCAAACATGTCATCTATCTGTCTACATGCACTACAAGAAAATTTGCAAATTGCGACGGTTCATTTTGATACATTACGACGGTTTTAACCGTCACAATTTGTAAGTTACGACGGTTTCAATCCCGTCGCGGAAACGTGTGTCGCGAGACCGTATTGCGACGGTTGTGAAAACTGTCGTACAAATCGTCGTTATTTTCACGACGGGTAGCTAACTGTCGTAATCTCCATATTGTGACGGTTTTCAACCGTCTTAACTTGCTTAATGATTTTTGTTTTTATTGTTGTTTGTGAAAGTATATTATGGGGGTTTGAACCGCCGCAAGTTGCAAATAATTTTTTAAAAAACTATGGTATATTGTGGCGGTTTGAACCCCCACAAATTGCAAATATTTTAAAAAAAAACTGCACTCATTTAGGATTCATAATACAGCTATTGTAGGTTACATTAATGGCAGTGACCTCAATAGGTAAATTTGTGAGAATCTTTCGAATCCTTAAAACATCTCCAGTGACCTTAATAGGTATATCATCTGCTATATCTCCTTCCAATGTTAACATTTTCTACAATGATGCTGCAGCTGTCTGGAGTACATCAATAATTGCTTGTTGTAAGACTTTAAATCCCATCAGCAAGTTCATCAAACTCTGAGAGGACTTATCACCTTTATCTTTGACTGAATCTACCAACTGTGTTGATTCGATTTCCTGCAGCATTTGTGTAACGCGTTCAAAAGACTTGACAAAAGAATCGTCCATTTTTCTGTTTTTCGTTGCTGCAGTTACTGCTTGAAGTAGAAACCTTGCTTCTGTAATTTTTTTCATTTTCATTAAACATATGGCCAAATTGCACTGTTTGTTCCTATCAACCTCAAAGGAAAGTACTTTTCTGGAAGACACAAATAAGGAACTTTTATTACTTCTCTCTAAAGAAACACAAAAATCAAAAATGCATTTCGATTCCATCAAATAAAAGACTCGCCTATAATGTTGTTCAGCGGTTTTATAGTTGCCTTTTTGCAAATAAGCCCAAGCCAAGTTGCCAATTATCCTCGATATCTCTTGCTCAGCGGTTATTTGAATTTTCTTCCCTTGAGATCTTGCTTGTTTTGTCGACCTTCCGACAAATGTCATATCGTCTTCAATTTGCTTCAACTTGTGATGAAGCATGTCAATCTCTTCATCAACTCTTCCTGACCTCTATAACAACATATACAAAATTGAGTTACAGACATCATAGCAAAAATTGAGTTATGACAGAATAATATGAAGAAACTAAGAGACTTGTCTGAATCCTTATACCTTATACAATTCAACCAAGATGTTGTCAAGAGATTCCTGAGAATCAGAAGGGCAGAGATGGCGGAAAGACTTGATTGCTTCGATTGCCTCGTCGGACCGGTTCAATTGCTTCATAACTAAAGCCATGTCCTTCAAAGCACTCTCCACGCGATCACCCGCATTAATGGCAGCCCAGAAAAGGGAAATAGCTCTACCTGGATCTTTTTCCACTAACTGTAATCAAACAATTCAGATTCCTAATCATTGAACAAAATACCTACAAAAACAGGTGGAGCATCACCATCAGCGTCCTCTTTCCAGAACTTGACTTTTCGGAAAAACGTTTCAGCGCTTCCCTTTTGTACTTCACCACGTTCTGCATTCAAGGGAGTGAAAATTAGTGATGAGTTTTGAGAATGATGAAAAATGGAGAATGGTGAGAAATGAAATTGGGAATGAACAGAGACAGTCGAGGAAGACGATGTTGTCGCCTCTTTGGGAAAGGACGAAGAACTGAGAAATCATGTTTTGTTGTTGTGTTTCTTTCTTTGCTTCTTTGATTCTTCTACTCAACGCATTATCTTCACCCTTGGCAGTTGGACAAGTTGCCAAAGGACAATGCTCACCAGCAGTTCCCCACCAATTCAGACTCATATTTTCCAATCCTAATGCAAAGTAAAGCAGTACAGCCATACAAGCCACCCCTGCATCAAGTGCTGCAGAAAAACATAGTTGTATCTCTGCCACCATTTCTACATTAGATAATATATAAGAAAAGTAGTACAGATATACGTTTTTGACAGATTCTAGCAGTCACCATGCTACACAAATGTTGATAGTTCCAGCAAGCATTGTCCTAATGAACTAAATAATTTTTAACACAACAAATACATTAGATAACATATAAGAAAGGTAAATGCTAGTAAAACCTTGCAAACACAATTATAACAGCTGAAAAAATAAATATACCTGCACTAAGAACATTGACCTTGGAGGGATTTTCATATAATGTCCGAGCTCGAAATTGCTAAGGAACGAAACAGCTTGAGCCATGCTTATGTAGCTATAGGTTTTGAAGCATACATTTCCAATTGGTCTTCCAGGGTAAGCGTTTATGTGCCAGAGACTGTCGGATGTGTGGTGGTTGATAGTGAAGGAAGGTGTGCCGCTGCCACATCAATTGGTGGTTTAATGAACAAAATGAGTGATCGAATCGGTGATTCACCACTGATAGGTGCTGGCACAATTCAAAGTTGTCACTGGCTTCCTGCGAGAATATGTTTGTGTGTATTCCAACCTTTCACGCCAAACGGTTACCTCTAATACCTGTGGAGTTAGACAACAAAGAGAGTCTTTAGAAAACACTAATAATTAACTGAAACAAGGAACAGAACCTCAGACTGAAAACAAATATAAATGCGATGGCATTAATTTTTACCATCTAAATATATGATATATGATATATGAAGGATTTGAGTATGTGTCAAGATGTCTTATAATGTAAGTCGTGCATCAAATTTGATATTCAAAGCTTCTGAAATATGATATATGATATAAAGAAGGTGAGTGTTTACTCTAGATTCCAGATTCAAAACCTGCGCCCACATAATTAAGAGAATGTGTGTACTAATCACTATTCTATTCCATACATGTCATTATTATTATCTCAAAGGTGTATTACTAAGGTGTATTATCATCTATTCAAAACCTACACAACACAAAAATAATAAACGTAAGCAATTTAATCATAAAACAAAACCGTGAACCCGACTTAAGTTCAACAACCCAAACATTGCTTTCCTTTCTTGTTTTGATTTTGGTTCCATGTACTTTTATCCCAAAGATGCGCTTCATAATGACCTGTCCATCTATGCCTAATACATAATTCACGAAATTCAATCAAACTGACATTCATAATCAATAAACATGGAATTTTCATCAATCAATTTCAATTTCCAGCTCATTCAAACAAATTCAAAACAAAAGCTCCTAAGAGATTTCCACGTGAATCACATAGTCAAGACAACTCAAATTGCATTGCATTACTTAACAGAATTTCAAACATGAGTATGCATCATAACTAAACTCATATTGCTCGATTCATAATAACACACATAAAATAGCTCACATCTCAATTTCCAACTCAGATTCAAATTGCCACAGATTTTCCACGTGAAAAAATTCAAATAAAACTCATAACAACATCTCAATTCTAGATTCATAATTAATTTAAGAATTGCATTTCATCAAAATTCATTAACAACATTGGAAATAATCGTTAATTCCCAACTAACTAATTAAACTTCTCAAAGGTTTCTTATTCTGCATCCTAAAACAGACAATTACTTGAGCTTATTGAGCATCACTTTTTTATCAATAGTAAGCGAAAATACATAAATCTTATATCACTGTGTTGAGTGAGCATGCCAAGCTAACTTCATTAACCGATACTAACATTCATAACAAAGTGGCAACATCACACCTACAATTGCATCTCATAACAAATTAAAACTCACGCTCAATTAAATTACATTCACAAGCTCATTTTCCAGCTCAGCGAAATTCAAATTGCTCACCACAAATAAAAACTCAAATTGCATTTAACTCAACCGTTTTTTCAATTTTTAGCTAGAATTGCACATTACGGAAAAAACAAGATATAAAAACAAATGAAAAGTATTATTAACTTCCATGAAGTGTGCGATGAACAGCGAGGAACTCAAATGGGTGTTTGCAAATTCTATGCCCCAAATTCTAAAACATGTTAACAATTATAGTCAGAACAGAACTTCCAGACACAAATGACAATGAATATGACGGTTTAAGCAATCAATCAACGGTAAAGGAATACAAAGTAACTAAAATAAAGATTAAAGAATAAACAATGTACAAATAAAACACAAACCAGTACAATAAAGGAAATCAAACGAACCTGATCTGCAACAACATCGACAAGCTCCAACTCACGATCTCGCCACTTTCTAGCACTATCAGTAGAGAGACTGAGAACCATTATTACAAAGCTTTTTGCTGAAAGATCAGGAAAATCATTAATTTGGAAATTTGACAAATGCAAAAGTGGCATCCAAACAGCAACAACTTCAGGTGGCACATACCTTCCAACAAGAGGTCTTATTCTAGCAAGCGGACAAGTATATGGTAGTTGCATAGTTCTCGAGCTATTAATAACTTCATTGACAATAGGAAGGTTTGTTGGCACAGTAGATCCAACTTGTACATTATAAGTTAAAGTATGAGAAAGTTGCAGATTACGAACACTTTTAAACGATTTTACAGTCCCTTCATGTCTAAGTGCTTTATATCATGAAACATCAAACATAAAGTTAAAACCAAAGAGGACAATTACCAATTTTCCAGTTCTAAAAAAATAGCAGTAACTTATAAGTTACTAACCAACTAATTAGATATAACCTGTGAAACTTTAATTCAACAGCATGGAAGAATCTAGTACAAAACCTATGTCAAACATTTCATGTGCACTTTACATTTTTAGTATCTTCCAAGTGAAATATCAACAAAATTAAGCATAACAATAAATAACAACAGGAGTCTTGTATCATGATTTTTAATGCTTCCAGCCATATTAGTCATAGCATGACAACAATATGAACTCATAAGGCTATTTATCAAATAAAGATTATATAAATTATTAGGGTGGGTTGTGAAATATACTTCAAAGATGAGAAGATACTTTTAGATGTTAATACACACAGAAAACTATAAATAAATTTTATAATATTTCAATTACAGCCTAGCATGATATATTATTATCTCACTAGTTGTGAATGAACACCGAGAAGAAAGTTTCTCCTCCTAAATTGTGTCGCATGATTCCGCCATGATAACACAGCAAGTGATGTCCAACCTGTAAATGGATGTGCACCTTTTCCATTTCCGTTAATCTGATTGTACTGCTCCCACAAAAATCCAGTCTGTTGATAGTTTCGCACTATATTTCTGCAGTATCAAACAATACCTAATTAAATTGCTTCTCAATTATTTGTACATGGCTTTAGCTCTATCCTAATATGGCGCATTCTCAGCAAGATTCAACTTAAACATCTGAAACAACTACTCTGTGGCTCTTCCCACTCCAGCTTGAACAATTTTGTATCTACCAAGTGAAATATCAACAAAATTAAGCATAATAATAAATAACAACAACAGGAGAAAGAACAAAATGCAAAACATGAGAGGGAGGTGCGTTGGTATGGAAATCACTTGAGCCAAAACCAAGCCCATCATTCCCTCTAGCTCACCATACACGAGTAAACAAACAAAAAAATGAATCTCAAACGGGCCTTAAGCCCAAGCCACAAATCCAAACAGATCAGTGACTCCACGTATAACAAAACACACGTAATGGAATCAGATTCTCAACAACAACATCATCATCCTTCTTCTTTCAAAACCACACACGATGAAGATAAAAAGCCATGGGAAATTCAGAAAAGAGAAAAACGAGACAACCATCAACACCAATCAATTCATTGCAACCTTCTCTCTCGTTCAACAAATTGATCCATCATGATGGATTTTACTTCAGTTCGGGCGTCATCTCTGCTTCAGGTTTGTGATGATTTGAGATCTTGCTTTATTCCTCCATCTTCTCCTTCTAATTACGTTTCTGTTTTTTGTGGTTTGTATGGAAGATTTTGAGTTGGGTTTCAGGATTTATGTTGGAATGATGTGTTGAAGGGATTTGGTGAAGAAGATTTGGAGAGTTATTGAAGGGGGAATGATGAAGATTCACAATTTTGTGGAGGGAGTTTCTTATCACCTTCTCTATGATATTTTTGACGTACACTACTACAA